TTTAGGTTGCTATAGAGGACAATTTGGTCATAATAACCCACCAAAAGTTTTACTTTTCTAAAATTGTGTGCCTTGACCCATTATTTCAATTTTAGCTTCCTCATCTAATATACTATTTTATCAGCTTTCTTACCAAATATACCCCTACTATAAATTTGTTAAATAATAAATATACCTAATCATCTCAATTAAGTTGACATAATTTTAATAAGATCACCGTCTAACCTGTCTTAAAAAAAATCTCTAAATATCATAAATTTAATATGTATTCTAAAAATGGTTACACTTTTTTTTTGGTCAAGTATAACATAAATGTGATTTTACTTAAATATATTTTATATTTGAGTTGTGCTATTTTTATAAAATCTAAAATTTTTATGTTGTACTTAAAAATTGATGCTTATTTATTTTATGCAATTAATGAGTGTGTGTGTCTATATATATATATATATATACTTAATTCTGCATTATTTAGTACAAATGGTTAACATTTAATATTTATTAGTGTACTGATAAAAAAAATGTATTAATGTATATATATATATTCCCTTCAAGCAAGTTAAATTTAAGTTCAAAGGTCAAGAATTCTTAATTTAAAAGAAAGTTGGTCAAGACAAAAAAATGTATATATACTTTTTTTCTGGTACTTTCATTTTTTTTTTTGAGTTTGGTTCCTATCTCCACATGTTGTACTAAAAAAACTACTTTAAACTTATTAAAATTTTATGCATTTGATTTTATTACTTACTAGAACATTTTTCTTCCGTAAAAAATAATATATGTTATCCATAGAAACAAATTAAAAGGAAATAAATTTTAAAAATAGTCATTAAAATATATATTTTACTAACTTTTTGTTTAAATGGCAAGAAAAAAAAGTGGTTGAACTGGCTGTCTTATAAGTGGAATTTGATTTAGTTTTTCATATTCTAAAATTAAGGGCTCTTTGGTAATTTCATCATATCTTGCCTTTTATTTCTCATTTGTTTTGCAAGTGGGGTTAGCTGGATTTAGATATACTAAATAAAATTTAACTAGATTTTGTAATTTAAACTATCACTAGTGAATTCAATTATTTTTTATTTAATTTAATTTAATTTAATTTTTTTGGAAAAGACTAGTGATTGACATCCAAATCCTATAGTTTATAGGACATAATTGCCATCATCCCTGAATTGTAAAAAAAAAACCAACACTACAAGTTATCTACTATTATTAAAAATGAATTTGACTATACAACATTATATTTTAATAAAGTAAGGGTTTAGCAAATCACATATTAATATTCATGAGGTTCCATCTCAAAACCAATTGGCCATTGATCCTTAAGATGCCCCCTCAAGATGGTGCCTCTTTTGGGTTCACCAATCTTGGATCGGATCCCATTTTGGACCGAATACTCGTTTGAGCTTGTGGGCTCTGATACCATATTAATATTCATTATTCATGGGGTTCCATCTCAAAACCAATTGACAATGAGAGGAGTAGTCCATGTCTATTATAAACCATTGTTAAGTCTCTTCTTTTATCGGAATCCTTAACATCACATATATATAAAATCATAAATTTGGTCTTTTAACTGACAAAAGTAAGATAGTCTAATCTAATTCTTTAAAATACGATAAATGATGTAAAAAATAGATTTTCATGACATTGTATTCATAGATAACTTCACACACCAGATGTTTATGAATTTTTTTCTTTTTAATTTTTTTTTTTTAGTTCAAACAATTGTGAAGCTGAAAATATCACTCTTTGTTAATAAGTCAATAAGGAGAGACATTTTTGTAAGTTTTCATAATAAAAGATAAAAAGAAAAAAGGGGCTTCAACTCTAGCAATGATTTTAGATTGCACGAATTAAGGACACAAAATTATAAAGATAATTGTTAACATTTTTAATCAAAGAAAGCTAATGATAACAGTTAGGGCTAATTAAGAGAGAGTATAATTAGGGGAGCATTGGAAAGGGGAAAGATTCTTGTGTAAAAGGAGAGGCTGTCGTCCAATACTAATCATTATATTTTCTTTTCTGTTTTTTTCCCTTTAACAAACAGATATATAATTTTATTTATTTTTTTCTTTTTTAAAAGAAAAATGATAATTGGACAAAACCCATATATACCATACTGGTATAAAATTTAAAACAAAGAAAAAAGAAAAAAAAAAGAAGAAATTAGAAAATAAAGGTGAGTTGGTGAGCAGTCAGCATTAGAGTGAGGTTTGCCGACAATAATTTGTGTGTCCACTAAAATCAGTAATTACAATCTCCAACCAATCACCTAAAACTATATGCAATAACAATACTCATTATTATTATTATGAGGCCAAAATCCTATTCTTTTAAAATGCATAAATGTATTTTCAACTTTAAATATTTACTTTAATCCGGTCATTTTTGTCTTTAATTTTATTTTTAATCTCATTTTTTCTATTACAATATCAACATGTAACTATAGCTTTATATTAAAAAGTTATTGATAAGGACTAAAATGAATTAAACTTGAACGTACCGTGTTTAGAATGAACAATTTGTACGTACAAATATCAAGATGAATCAAAATTGAAAATATATAGACCAAAATAGTATTTTAATGTTATGATTATTATTATTAGATTATTCTATTCTCTACTTTTCTACTCTCTTCCTCATTCACCATAAAAGGTGTGGAAAAAAAAAAAAGACCCACTTATTCTTCTGTCTCCTTTTCACTGTTTCTTTCATGGGTTGTTCCATCTCATAATCATAAATTTTCTTTTGGGTATTTTAAATGGGTGATAAAAATAGTTCTACTTATATCAACAGCCTCTTGATTTTTTAAATATATGAAAACAAAAATCTTTCATCAATTTTTAACTTTTTCTATTATTTCGATTTTGTCTGGGTTGATAATACTTCTTTTATTATGTATATTAGTTATATAACTCATACACTTTATATTTAAGTATATTATCGATAAATCTTCTTTATATTAAAAATTTTGGCTAAACTAATATTGCAGAATTTCTTATTGACATATCAAATATATTAAGTAAATATAACTGATATATCTAGTATGAATTATATTAGTCGTGGTAAACATATGGTCAATGTACTTCATGTTGGTACATCACAGATAAATCTTATCAAATTGAAAATTTTAGTTTAATTAACCTTTCAAGTTTCTTTGTTGCAGTATATTAATGCTATATTTCATTTTAGGTCTAGTATATTATTAATATAACTGATGTACCTAATATCAAATATATAAGTAGATTTTATCATTTCCAGAGAACTATCATTTTTAAGGTATAGTCAACTTTTTCATTTTTATCATCTAATTGGTGTAAGTTTTTTTTCCCTATATATGCAAGTGGCCATTTTATTTTTTGTTTTTTTTTTCTTTTTGAATAATTATTATATGGAACTCATATAATAATTCCAAAGTTATTATGTGCAATTCATATCCTACCATATTAAACCAAAGTTATTAATATTTTAACCAAAAGGGTAGAAAAGAATTAAAAAAAAAACTTGAAGAAATTATGGGACCAATAATGATTTTCCAACCCAATCAAGGAAAAGAGAAAAACAGGATTTTGGAAACAGCTTTTGAATGTGTGAATGATGAAGAGAAGGAAGAGGGAGTGTTTTTTTTTCTCTAGAAAAAAAAAGTGGGTTTTGTTGTTTCTTCAATGTTCTATAGACTGAGAGAAATAAAGGATTATGGCTTTCCATAATTGGGAATTTGCTTTAGAAAAAGAGATTGGAATCGGTTGATGAGTAGCCATTGTCAAAAATGACTAAATTCTCTGTTTTGCTGTGACTCAAAGCAGCAAAAGAATAAAAATAAAAATAAAAATAATCTATTTTTTTTTCCAAGAAGAAAAAAGTGGATCATTATTCCCTTCCTTGTATCCTAAGCATAGGGCACCAGCATTACTCCCTCAACAGGAGTAGCCCTAATCAATGCAAAGTTGAAATCAAATTAAAAAAAAAAAAAAAAAGAAGCACATTCTAATTTTCAACTCTCATACTTTGTGAGACTATTGAAGAAGATTACTTAAAAAGGGTTCTAATAACTTGTAGGTTATAAGTTTAATCCATTTGACTTTTGTATGTTAGTCCTTCACATGTTGAAAAAGAGGGATTAGTATTGTAACCAATGTGATATAGCTTAGCATTTAAGCACTTATATCTTACTTGAGATTTAAAGTTTAAATTCTCTCTCCTGGAGGTCGAATACACGACCTCCCACTCGGGATTTTTTTTTTAGTACAATATATGAGGGTGGTGGATCGAATTCACAACCTCTTGGTTGAAGATGTATGCCAATTACGATTGAGTTATACTCATTTTGGCTGTAGAAGTTGGGATTTGAACCTATACTTATGATGTTGACAGATATGTTCGATGATATTTGTTATGAGATAAGTTTTATTCTAGCTCATACATTCTTATATTTCTTTATATTTCTTTTATGTGTTAAAATATTTTGTTTTAATCACTCACTTTCACATAAAATTTCATTCTAGTCCAAACGTATGAAAGTCGAATGAAAATTAAAACAAAATATTTTAAAGCAAAACGATAAACAAAATGATGTGACATTTCAAGAACTATAAAAGAGTGCAACTGTTATATTTATTTGTTTAGAATGCCAACGAATTTATGCATTACAATTATGAACAAATTTTAGAGGGAAAAAATTGCAATTCTTTTTGTCTCTTGAAAGTTATGACATTGTAATTTTTCAAAGAAAAAAATATATTAATGTGATTTATTGTTTTCTTCTCCTTATTACTTTTCTAATTCATAATTAGATCCAGTACCACTTATATTTTGGATTGAGATGGTGTAACTTTCAAACCTTCACTCTTTTGATCGAGAATATATGAATTACCACTTGAATGTGAAGCATTTATCCTCAAAACGGATGAACAAGAAACTGTGATGTAATAGAATTTCATAAAACAGAATCAATATGAAAACAAGACATTCTAATGAATCTAAACCAAAAACATATCGACACTTTTATTTTCCTTTATGGAAAAACAGAGTTTTCAAAATGGGGTTACATGAAAAACAAACATCACAAGGGCTTAGAATGTTTAAAACAGAAGTTACCAACAAAGTCTTTGATTTGATAGCAAAACGCCTCACCCTGGTTTTCTGTCTCTCCATCACCAATTCATAACCGAAAGCTCTGAAAATGACTTCCACTGCTTTCTTTCAATGGTGGGTCTCCACACCAAAAGACCAGCACAACTTTGGACTCAGATTGTGTAACACATTCACTCCCCAAAGTGCTTCTCCAGCTAAAAAGCTTCCCCCTTTCTCCTCCTCCTCCTCTACCGCTTTGCCCCCGCCCCGAGCTACCTCCATTACCACTCGCCTCCGGCGGCCAGATGGTTCCCATATCGTTCCTTTTCAACATCGTTCGGATGCCAAAAAGATCGACTGTACTCACTAGGCATTGAGTTGTTCATCCTACAACTCAACTTGTTGTGTGTGTTAAGGTGGTCTTTCAAGTCCGAGGAGATCTTTGTCAAATGTGTCTGCAAAGGGAAAAAAAACTGAGTCACCACAGTCATCTTCTTCTAGGTAAAAACATCGATTTTTTATGGCGATAACACGGCATGTTAAGGGAAAACTCGAAACGCCTCAAAAATTTATCTTTTTTTTTCTTTTAACAGTTTGATGAGTGAAACAAGACATATTTTTTAGAGTTTTGAGTAAAATGCAGGAGGGAGCTTGCTTTTCTTATGCTGCAGAAAGGAAATGAAGCTAAGCTATTGGAGATGTGATGGGATTGGGCCCAACTTTTTTTCCCCATGATGTAAAAAAAATAAAATGGATCAATTTCAAACGAATCTGCTTTAATCATTTTCCCATCTACCAAAAGGAGCAGACATAAGAAACTGTACTGACAGGAATGCTTATGACTCAAGGAATATAAAAGATATGATGGAGCGAGAAATATCGAATGGCAGTTTGAATTCGAAGTGCCGAGCAGAAATATATGAACAGTTCGATTCAATTTGAACGTGGGGAAATCTTCAAAATAGAATCTTAGAGCCTCTCTGAAGTGACATGGTATAGAAACCATACTAAGCTTGCAAAGATTGGGAAGGTAGAGCAAGATATGGCTATTCTAAAGTCAAGCACAATGCCAAGAGTCGCCTCACCAAGTTCGGTTTCGGAGAACTAGAACTTCAGCAGAACTATAAGAACTATCCACTTTCACATGATGATGATTCTGATTAGCAAACTAGAACTAGAATTCTGTGTCTAGTATTGACATTACAAGATAAGCAAAGAGTTTACAGATTCTAAAGCTGTTTGTGACTTAATGGAACGTTTTTCTTTTCTTATATGAAAACTGAACTTGACATGGGAAAATTAGAACATAAGGATGATAAAGCCAAGCAATCCCCGAAACCTCGGCGCAATGCATTTTGAGGAATACAAAAGTCAAATCTCATATGAACAACCCTGTTTTCTTCCACCCTACATCCCCAAAAATCTTCTAAGGAAGGTGACATGGAATTTGGTACAAATCAAGGAGAAAAATAGTGAAGGAAAAGAATTCAATGAAATCCTAAGAATCTAAAAATTTAGATTAAAAGAAAAAAAATGGAAAACCGTTACACTGAGGATGTATCCCCGAAAACTTCATTAAGCACATCATCCTCACCATTGGCCAAGGAGAATAGGTCGGCGTCCTTGTCTTCGTCGCTGGAAAAATCCCTCCTCTCGAGCTTCGAATGCGCGGATATGAATATCAACTTCTGTGCCCTGTCAATACCAGCCTTTTGGTGAGTATGAGAAGCCACCCATCTCAATAAAGACCAGTTGCATTTAAATCCACAGGAAGTGGCATGGAGGAAGATGAGCCTCACTGCCACTTTCCCTAAGGACTTGAATTCTGTGAGATAAGTTTCCCAAACAAGCCTACTGCTCTGTGGATTGGCCACTCTCATCTTCCCTGTCACTGGGTCTCTCTCCTTCATTTGCACAGCTCTAGCATACACTGGATCAAGCCCTTCTGTTCTCCATTTCATAAGCTCCATCAATGCAATGTGAGCTTCCTCCCTCGACACCAGCCGGGTTATGAGCTTGTCCACATCCTTCTCTTGATCAGGACTCAGGCATTTGAACGGCGGCAGGTACTTCCCGCTACTGTCTCTGACCAAGTACAACGGGTCGAGAATAAATGATGCTGCCCAAGCGGGGTGGTAGTTCTTTTTGAACCTCTTTTCGATCACTTTTTCGACAGGCCCTTCGGCAATCTGGAATTTTGAACACCAATCCTTGACTTTACCCCTCAGCTGATCCCACAATGGGAGGCATTGCCCAACCAGCGGCCTCTCCTTCTCAATCTCACAAGCCATTTCTGTCACCAATTTTACCAGAGAGTGGACTGCCTCTAGCTCATTCCAAAACCCCACATCACCAATCAATTCTGCGACTTCTCTGGCGATTGGGTCGTCCATGGAAACGATTTTGAAGGTCTCGTCGAGCACAACCAGCTGCAGAGCTCGAGAGAAGTTGATAATGTCCTCCATTAGAGTGAAGACAGGGCCAAAGTTGAGCTTCTCATGGTAGCGGGGGGGCACCCGGAGTAAAGCAGCGTGGCCGTACTCTTGAAGCTGAAATTTGTGGAAGCAATTTCGAATCTGGGACTTGTAATTGACAAAATTAGCGAGCTTGATACAATGCTCGGTGACAGAGTTGAACAATGGGAGCTGTTTGCTGAAATCCTTGATCAAACTGGAAAAACCCTGAAACTGACAAGAGAGATTAACCATCCAATTGTTCTGATTCTCCAAATTCTTCAGCGCTTTGGCCTTGAATTTATCTGCTACAATCCCCACACACTGATGAACGATATTCCCACTAATATCGGCGATTGTTTCCCATAAGATTTCTTGAGCGTAAGTGGAAGGAACAGAGCCGCTGACGAACACCGCCCGGCGGTAGAGGCTAGTGCCATTGGGGAGATTAACGGTGAGATTGACCAATTTGTCGAGGCCGAAAACTGCGTAGTTTTTGTCGTTCCATCCGTCGGAGGCGAGCTGGAAGAACATGGCGTCGCGAATCTTAACCTCGGACTCTGCTTTGGCCTCCTCGAATTTGGAGTTCAATCGGGAACTGGTGAAGTCCCGGCGAGAAATCGCCGGGATTCCAACTTGGTTGAGGAAGGCCCGGAATTTGGGGTGCTGGAGGCTTGAAAATGACACGGAGCC